AAAGGAACCGTGCTTCCTTTGGTGTGGGATCGTGGAATTATTGAAGATACCAAAGTTTCCAAAGTTTTAAATAAGTTTGGAACATGAGAGCTTTGTGATCAGATGCAGACCAAAGTCCCTTTGGAGTGTTAAAACTGTTGATCTAAGCTACCTCTTCTGTTATCCTCTGAAATCTTCTTCCTCTTAAATATTACACGCAGAAATAAATATGGAGGAGATTCGCCGGGCTGCTGGAGCTTCTGACAAACATCTGCCCGAAAATAACACGGAACTGGCCAGAAAAGACTTCAGATGCCAAGGATAACAACGGAGACGGGAAAATTAGCGTGCGTGAATGCGTAGACTATCTGAATGAAAAAAAAGCCACAGATTTCATTCATCAGAGCATCTTCAGCGCATATTTTAAAACTTGTTGGATAGAACACACGGTGACTTTTGGATAAAATACATGTGTCGCAATAGAAGTCAGATTCGTGCAAGTTTAAAAACAGACTTGGAAATAGTCGCCTTAGGTAAGAAAATAATGGATGTCCTCGTCTACGATGCCACAACCATATAAGATGTATATTATGTGCCCTACTAATGTTGATGTCATCCATGTATATTATCCAGCCGCCCCGGTTTGTTTTCTCTGTTTTTTCATTTGCTAGTTAGTCATGGGTGTGAGCCATAGAGATGCTGTAGGGGAACAATCCTCTTCTTTCCCTGCCTGTAGCACGTCGAGGGAAAGAAAAAAGATATACAGTGCAACTCAAAAGTATATTGTTTTGAGCTTTTTTTAATAAATAGTGAATAAAACGGTGTTGTTTTAAAGTTCATTTATCCTTTCATACTAGGATTCACTTGTAAGTTTTGTTGAATAAAGTTTTTATACCCTGATTCTAAAATGTCCAAGCATTAACTATTATGGGTTAATCTATTTACTGATGGGATCTAGTGGCACAAATACTTTAAACAATATTGAACTTGAATATTTTTAAGATTTATTTTTTATTTAAAATCAAAAGAAACACTAATACTTTTAATATACAATGTAATGATCCATGTTGAGTCTATTGACTCTAAATAGCAAGAGTAAATAGCAAAACACATTTTGAAATGATTTTAAAACAACAAGGATGAGCTGTAAAGCTTGGAACAAAATACCAAACATGGCTAAACATAAATATAATATATTAAAGGTCAATTCAAAATCCTCAAGATCTGGACCTTAATTTAGATTTTATTTATTTTAAGTTAATTTATGATATTGACTTAGTTATATTTGGATGACTAACATATTGATTTATAGCTTAGTTATATGCTCCTTTTGTAAATTATATTTTGATATTGGAAAACTAATTACTTGTAATTGTGTGAATTGCAATTTTTTTGAAAAAGAGAGTTGATGACATAATAAACTATCCCAGGTTACCTCATTCAGAGAAGTTGAAAATACATTATACTACACGGGAGTCATGGATTGTATTTGCAATAATAGAGGTTCAGATGGCATTCGTCTGATGCACAAGAAAGCTATAATACTCTCAACTATAGTAATAGCTGGGTGTGCATGGACTCTGATACGGGAGTCGTGTTTCATGTGTTGTGTGAGAAAGTTAAATTATTGAAGATACCAAAGTTTCCACACCCAGCTTGACTTCACTTCTTTAATATTTCTTCGCCGTGTGGTCTCTTTAATAGCTACTGTTTTCTTTTGTTGTCCATAGAGAAGGGTCGAGGAGAAATAAATAATTCGTGGGTACGGTCGAATAAAAGAAAAGATCTTGTCTCCAAAAACAAATTTGTGGTGGCCTCTCATAGTAGTAGCTGGGTTTGCATGGGCTTTGAGTGGCGGCTTCAGCTTGAAAAGAAGAAGAGCGTATGGCTGGTGGCTATTATGAGGAAAGGAGACATAAGGTTGTAAGGGTTAGAGTTAATATGGTAGTACGAGAATAAAAATGAATTGTATGTTATACTTCTTCGGTGTCGAGATACGATGTTTGCATAAAATTTAAATTTATTTTATTTCAAATTAAATTTTTATTATATTTTTAGATTATTTCAATTTGTTGGTATGAAACATATTTATTACAATAAAAAAAAATTATCTTGATTTATTTTGAAGTACAAAAACAATTCAAAAAATAACTGATTATACACTACCATGCGCGGCCCTTAATGACTCTGATACGGGAATGGTGTTTGACGTGTTGTGTGAGAGAGTAATCATTGAAGATACCAAAGGACCCATGAACACCAGCAAAGTTTTAAATAAGTTTGGAACATGAGAGCTTTGTGATCAGATGCAGACCAAAGTCCCTTTGGAGTGTTAAAATTGTTGATCTAAGCTACCTTTTCCGTTATCCTCTTAAATATTACACGCATAAATAGATATGGAGGAGATTCGCCGGGCTGCTGGAGCTTATTACAAACATCTGCCCGAAAATAACAAGGAACAGGCCAGAAAGGCTTTCAATGCCATGGATAAGAACGGAGACCGGAAAATTAGCGCACGTGAATACGTGCACTATCTCAATGAAAAAAAAGCCACAGATTTCACTCATCAGAGCATCTTCAGCGCATATTTTAAAACTTGCTGGATCGGCGACTTTTGGATAAAATACGTCAAGTAAGAAAATAAGTCTAAAATGCCACAACCATATCTAGCTTTCTATGTTGCCACTAAGATGTATGTTGTGTGCCCTCCTCATGTTGATGTCATCCATGTATATTATCCAGCCGCCCGCAAGGCTTGTCTTTTCTGTTTTTTCATTTGCTAGTTAGTCATGGGTGCATGCGAGTCTTGTCGATTTTTGGGTCTCTAGCCAGAAGAGAGAGAGAGAGAGAGAGGGAGAGATGCTGCAGAGGAACAATCTTCTTCTTCCTCTGCCTGGAGCACGTTCAAGGAAAGAAGAAAATATACAATGCCACTCAAAATTGCAATCGTTTTGAGTTCTTTTTTAAACAAAGTCAACAGTGAATGAAACAATATTGTTTGGAAAAAAACGAGTCATTTTATTTACAAGAAAATGGTGTCAAAAAGTATCTATTTTCAAATTAATTCTTATTTTTCAATTTGTTCAATCAAGTTATTAATTAAAATTTTGATTTTAAAAATCAATTTAATTGTATCTCAGTTAAATTTAAATATCAACCCTGAAGTGACTGCCTTTTTTATTCTTCGTTGATTTTGAATTTATACCTTTTGACCCTTATTAATCAACAAACTTTCAATTTCTTTACTTTAGCTCTTGTTTTAGTCAATTTCAACCCTTATATTCATATGCATTTTCCACTTTAGTCTTTGTTTTTTGATTTTTTTAATCAAATCCCTAATTGCTCATTAAACATCAATATTTATGCAACTAAACCCTTGAATTGATCAAAATAACTCCTAAAAATTATAATTTGCCTCCAAGCTTTAATTTCTTTCAATTAAAACTTAAATTGACTTAAAAATTATTTTTTCTTACTTTCAAACCCTTCAAAATTTTAATTAAACCTTCAATAAAATTTAATTGAGTCCTTAAACATTTGATTTCGGACTTTTCATCCTTAAATTGAATTTTCTTTGTCAATAGAACCTTCATCAATTAAAAATATACTATCAAATTTCAATTTTTATATTTTCAAACTTTCTCAACCATTCTTTAACTATTTTTTAGACACCTCGATGTTCTTTTTTCGCTAATATATATTTTTAAGTTTTTTCCTTCTAATATTTTCTTTTTTCTTTTTTTATTTTTTTTGGTATAAGATCTAAAAATAGATAATAACAATGACCCATGACTATTATTAGTTTATAAAGCCATGTCAGTGAATAATTTGATAGGCTTATGTTAGGTTCATTAAACCTAGTCCAAATCTTAAGAGGAGATATCGCTAAACAATTTGTTTATGCAACAGTGGTCTATGAATAATGCCTTATTCAAGTTCATTTATCCTATACTACTAGGATTCACTCATAAGTTTTGTTGAATAAAGGTTTTGTACCATGATCCTAAAATATCCAAGCATTAATCACTATGGGTTAATATATTTAGTGGTGGCCGAATCTAGTGGCACAAATACTTTAAATAATATTAAATTTAAATATTTTTAAGACTTATTTAAGACTTATTTTTTATTTAAAATTAAAAAAAAATAATATTTTTAATATACAGTGTACTGATCCATGTTGAGTCTATTGACCCTAAATACCAAGAGTAAATAGCAAAACACATTTTGAAATGATTTTAAAACAACAAGGATGGTTTGTAAAGGTTTGAACATGATACCGAATATGGCTACACATAAATATTTATGTAGGTCAATTCAAAATCCACAAGATTTGGAGCTTAATTTAGATTTTATTTTATTTTAAATTAATTTTTGATATTAACTTAGCTATATTTGGATGACTAACATATTGATTTATAGCTAGTTATATGCTTTTTTTGTAAATTGTATTTTGATGTTGGAAAACTTAATTGTATGAATTGCAATTTTTTAAAAAAAAAGAGTTGATGACATAATAAACTATCACAGGATACCTCAATTAGAGAAGTTGAAAATACATTATACAACACGCAATTTGCAATTGACATCTATAATTAGCAAGTCATAGACTGTATTTGCAATAATACTCTCAACTATAGTAGTAGCTGGGTGTGCATGTGTTAGAGAATAATATAAATTATATCATAAAGTTTTACCTAACAGCTTAAATTTTTAGGTGAGATGGTTTTTTGATATGATATCAGAGCCTTAATAACCAAACGATCACGAGTTCGAATCTTATCATCCCTATTTATTTCATAAAAATTAAGCACAAGATAATGTGGGCCTATATAAATTTCAAGCTTAAAGAGCTTTCACTTGAAGGGGTGTGTTAGAAAATAATATAAATTATATCCTAAAATCTCACTTAACAATTTAAACTTTTAGGTAAGATGATTCTTTGAATACGGGAGCCGTGTATCATGTGTCGTGTGAGAAAGTTAAATTATTGAAGTTACCAAAGGTCCCATGACGTGTGAGAAAGTTAAATTATTGAAGATACCAAATGTACAACAGCAAAACAGAATGATAATCCACACCCAAATTCACTTCAATTCTTTAATAGTTCTTTATTGTGTGGTCACTTGCCAGTACTATAAATCACTGTCGAACATGAGAGCTTTGTGATCAGATGAAGACCAAAGTCCCTTTGGAGTGTTAAAATTGTGATCTAAGCTACCTCTTCCGTTATCCTCTTAAATCTTCTTCCTCTTAAATATTACACGCATAAATAGATATGGAGGAGATTCGCCGGGCTGCTGGAGCTTATTACAAACATCTGCCCGAAAATAAAAAGGAACAGGCCAGAAAGACTTTCAATGCCATGGATAAGAACGGAGACGGGAAAATTAGCGTACGTGAATACGTGGACTATCTCAATGAAAATAAAGCCACAGATTTCACTCATCAGAGCATCTTTAGCGCGCTGGACAAGGACAGCAATGGAAGCTTGGATTTTGATGAAGCAACCGTCTTGTACTACATCATGCAGAGTGGAAGGGCTATAATTTGCCAGTCTTGTAAGACGTTCTTGGCAGGTGCATACTTCAGCTGCTCTGAATGTTTCTTCAATGATTCAGTTAGCACCTATGAAATTTGTTGTGAATGTTATGGTGATAAAAAGTTCACACACCACGATGGTGCCATCTTCTGCGATAACTATACTTTACTTTGTCAAAGCAGGAGCGCGACACAAGCGGCCCCCACAAAGGTAATAAATTTTAGGAACTAAAACAATAAGATATTTTTACTATACATTTGCCAAAATTCACTAATAACTCATTGTTCATGGAGCATTACGTTTGGAGCTTCCTTCAAGATTCTGAATTTGGATCTAGTTAGGATCTTTTGAGCTGAACGCTATGCATGACATGGCTTTTGAGATAGGACAGCTATTGATTACTACTCAATCAAAGGTTAATCAATGATTTCTTTTCTCTTGTAGAGCTTTACAAGCTCGCTAGGTTTTGTTTTATTATTATATTTCTTCTCTGCTTTACATTTGAATTCCCATTCTTCGTATTGATTGAACTTCTTTAATTCTCTGGATGAAGAGATTAATTATATTTTCAGGACTGGCTTCAAAATAACTAGTGGAATCCTCATGTTTTCATTATTACAAACATTATCTCCATCTAATTGATAAATAAATACTATATTAAGTATAAAAACATGTTTGCTTATAAAATATGAACTCAACCTCTAATATATTTGCATATTTTCTTTTATTTCAGAAGCAAACCATGGTGCTTAACGTCGTTAAAAAGGGACTGCAAGTTGCAGGCATAACTAGTAGTGATGTTGGAGGCATAACTGGTATTGGTGATGGTGAATCAAGATCTAACTGTAGCATTATGTGAAAGAAACCAATGATGCATTTTATCACCAGTCACATGCATCCAATCGTACAATAAATATCTCCGATGAGCTAAGAGGAAATGACTGAAAATTTACTGGAAACTCTTCAAGTGGGCTCGGATCCAGTAGAGAATAAACTCAAGTTACTTTGTATTGCTGTGTGTCTTTTCTGTGGCAATAATTGTATTCTCATGCATTCGATCTCCATAGTCTCATGTGTACTTTTGGAGGGCATTGAGAACTTGTTTAATCTTAAGCTGCTTTTGTGTAAAATCATGTAGTTAATGAAGCTTTTCTAGTAAAATCACTGAGCACCGTCACAAGTGATTCCATTGCAAGCAAGATTAGCTCATGTATGTTGGTGGGAGAAACCATTTATGGTGGCTTTGAAACACTCGGAGGAGATAAAACACATTGTTTTTCAACTGTTTTATTTCAAAAACAATAAACTTACAACATAAACAAAAGCTTACAATACACACCCTCTCTTTCTCTCTTTCTCTCTAGTGTTTCTCTCAAATCTCTCCACACATAATTACATAAGCTTAATTGCCTATTTATACACGAATTCAAAACAAGAAAATTCAACCTTCAAGTGTGAAGGCGGCTGTTGCCGACTATGTGAAAGCGGCTGGCGACCGGTGGCTGGCAGCTGGATGGTTGGGTGGTGACAGCTGGTGGTTGCCTTCCTTGACCTTCTAGATTAAGTTTACTTTAACAAATCTCCCCCTTAAACTCAATCAAAGGATGTCATTCCAAGCATGAATTTCAATCTGATAAATACTTCTCTCTTCAATGGCTTGATAAAAATATCTGCAACTTGATCATTTGTCTTGCAGGATATCAGCTCGACTTCTTTGTTCTTTATATGCTCTCGGATAAAATGATGATGTATATCAATGTGTTTACTTCTTTCATGATACACCGGGTTCTTTGCCAATGCAATCGTTGATCGATTATCGATATAAATCTCTATAGGATTTTCTTGAGGAAATCCCAAAAACTTCAGCAAATTCCTTAACCATATTAAATGACATACAACTGAGTTGGCAGCAACATACTCAACTTCACAACTTGATAACATGACAATCGATTGCTTCTTGAATGACCATTTGAAAGATGTATCTCCCATGAAAAAGACAAACCCTGTTGTGTTTTTCCTTTCATCCAGATCTCTACCCCAATCACTATCCGATTAGCCAGTAAGATTGAAATTTGTACTTAAGGTATAAAACATACCTTCATTTATTGTACCTTTGATGTAGCGAAGAATTTTTTTGGCTGCATTCAAATGAAACTGGTCTGGCTTCTCCATATATCTGCTGATAAGTCCGACTCTGTAGAGTATATCCGGTCTGGTACATGTCAAGTACCTTAAGCTTCCTACTAAGCTTTTGAAGTAAGTTGGATCAACATTTCCAACTTTACTCTTCTTCAATTCCACTCCATTCTCAACTGGAGTTGATACAAGATTGCAGCTTTCCATCTTGAACCTTTCAAGAATATCTTTGGCATAACCGCTTTGGGATACAAAAATCCCTTCTTCTTTCTGCACCACTTCTAACCAAGAAAATGTGCCATCAAACCAATATTTGTCATTTCAAACTCATGTACCATGCTTTTCTTGAAGTCTTCAAACATGGTAGTATTGTTGCTGGTAAAGATCAAGTCATCAACATATAAACACACAAATAATATGCTGCCATCTGTTTAAAGATCAAGTCATCAACATATAGACACACAAATAATATGCTGCCATTTGTTTCTTTCTTCACATAAATTGCGTGTTCATATGGACATTTTTCAAATCCATTATCTTGAAAATACCTGTCAATTCTGGTATTCCAAGCACGCGGAGCTTGCTTCAAACCATAGAGAGCTTTCTTCAACTTGTATACTTTGCGTTCATTTTCAGCATCAATGTATCCAAGTAGTTGTTCAACATAGATCTCTTCTTTAATAGCTTCATTGAATATAGGAAATCTATGTACCGGACTTTGTGGCTCATCTTCTGGTACTATCGGACCTTCTGCAAGTACTGTTGGTACTTCTTCATCTTCAAGGATCAAATCAGTGCTGATCCATTTAACAGCTTCTTGGTCATCATTCCATTGCCAAGTTTTATCTTCTACAAAGATAACATCTCTACTCATAATTACCTTCTTGGTGATGGGATTATACAATTTGTATCCCATCCTTCTCTCACCGTATCCGATAAAGATGCATTTCTCGCTTTTATCGTCAAGTTTGGTCCTTTTTGCATCTGGGATCTTTGCATATGCCACACAACCAAAGACTCGAAGATGAGTAACATTTGGTTTATGACCACTCCATGCTTCTTGTGAAGTGACAACTTGCAAACTTCTGGTTGGGCAGCGATTCAGTAGATACACTACACATGATACAGCTTCAACCCAGTATTGTTTGGGCAGCTTCTTTGCTTTGAGTACACTTCTTGCCATGTCAAGAATCCTTTGATTCTTTCTCTCAGCTACACCATTCAGTTGTGGTGTATAAGCTGGTGTTATTTGATGTCTAATGCCTTGTTGTGTACAAAAGGCTTCAAAATCATTTGTTGTATATTCTCCACCTTGATCAGATCTTACGGTTCTGATCTTATAGCCACTTTGCTTCTCAACAATTGCTTTAAAATCTTTAAAACAATTGAACACTTCTGACTTCCTCTTTAAAAAATATACCCATGTCTTTCTACTAAAATCATCAATGAAAGTGAGGAAGTACCTATTTTGTCCATTTGACATAGGCTTTATAGGACCACACACATTTGTGTGCACTAACTCCAGTGGCTTCTTTGCTTTCTAGTTAACTTCTTTGACAAAACTGGATATGTGATGTTTGCTGAGGACACAACTCTCACAGACTTCTTCTGGATGATCAATGTGGGGCATACCTTTGACCATCTTCTTGCTTGCTAGCATCTTTAGACTTGTGAAATTCAGATGTCCAAGCCTCAGGTGCCAAAGCCATTCTTCACTGTTGGTGATGGCACTCAAACACTTTGCTGCATCATATTGGATGTTTAAAGGAAACATCCTATTCTTGGACATTTTCACATAGGCAATTAATCTCTCATTATAGTCTGTAAGTGTCAGATGACAATTCTTCATGTAAAGTGTATAGCCTCTCTCCAAAAGTTGACCTATGCTCACCAAGTTCTGCTTTATGGCTGGGATATAGTAGACATCGGTGATGTAGCTATGATCGTCATTCTTCAACTTAATTGGGATGTTGCCTTTACCTTTAAATGGAACTTTTGAGGTATCTCTAAAGGTGACAAAACCTTGTATGGTCTCATCTAGATCACCAAATAAATCTCGTTGGCCACACATGTGATTGCTGGCTCCAGAATCAAGATAAATATATTCTTTTGATTCTTGTCAAGTCCTTGTTGGACAAATAATGCAGCTGGTCCTCTGTTGTTGGCATCCTCCTCTACATAGTTGGCATGCTCAAGTACCTCTAATGAAGCTTTCCTTTGACATTCAGTGCTATAATGCCCAAATTGATTGCAATTATAACACTAAATATTTCTTTTATCACGGTTATTGTAACCGCCTCCTCTTCCTCTAGGAGTGAATGCTTGTTATCCTCGACCTCTTTTGGTGGTGTTTCTACCACTTCTTCCTCTAAAACCTGTATTCCAAGAACTTCTGCCTTGAAATCATTGAAATCTCCTCGTGTTTGTTGACTTCTTCCTCGAGTGGTGTATCCACTTGTTGAAGTCTCCCCTTGTTCATATCTGTCTTTGAGAGACAATTTTGCTTGTAAGGCATGCTCAATTGCCTTATCTCCATTTCTTTTTACAATTTTCTACTCATGAGTTTGCAAAGAACTCATAAGTTCATCTACTGTTAACTTATCCACTTCTTTGGACTCTTCAATAGCAACAACAACAAAATCATATTTTGGATCTAGGGATCTCAAAATTTTCTCAGTAATTTGAGCATCTGAAAGGGCTTCTCCATTACTTCTCATCTGATTGACTATCACCATAATTCTTATGTGATAATCAGAAATGGATTCTGAGGACTTCATTTGTAATAATTCAAATTCACCTCGCAAATATTGGAGACAAATCTTCTTAATTCTGTCAGCACCTTTGTATTTTTGTTGGAGAGCCTCCCATATTTCTTTTGATGTTTCTGCGGAATCAATGATTTCAAATGTCGCTTCATCAAGACCTTGATAAATGATGGTCTTTGCTTTGTTGTCTTTCTTTCTATTGGCTTTGAGGACTTGCTTTAGTGCCTCTGGTATAGCATCTTCTGATTCTTTAGACTCTGGTTCGTCATAACCATATTGCACAATGTCTATACACTCTTGTGAACCAAGAAATGCCTTCAATTTGATGCACCAACTATCATAGTTGTCTTTGGTTAGTTTTGGGATGAGTGTTAATGCATTTTCTATAGTCATTTTGCTCTTTAAATGACTATATCACCTTTTAGGAGTTGAATTTGGCAAAACTGACATCGTAGATGGATCCGGAATGGTCCAAATAGTAGGGAATCGGTCTTACTTTGTAGAAAATGGGTCAGAAATGGGGTGAACCGGTCCAAAAACCAATTCGGGCGGTTCTCTAGGTTGAACGGGGAATATTCTAGGGAATATTCTTTTTGGCTTGGCTTCGAAAAATGGCTCGTGGCTTGGCTCTCGGCTCGACTTGGCAGCTCGGTTTAGGTGGCTCGGCGCGGCTCAAATATGGCGCGGGTGTGGCTCAGTTGTCTTCTTCCTCGGGGCGCGTGGGCTACAGTACTGAAACTTCAGATGGAGAGTGTGGGCCACCTCGTGCTCTGATTAATCTGATTTTTTCACCGTTAAGTTCGTATTGATGAGCTCTACACTTTGGAATGATCAAAACTTGTTTTTGACAACTTTGAAAATTCAGATATATCCCAAAAATACCTCTGTTTTCTGACGAACGAGGCTCTGATACTAATTATTGGTGGGAGAAACCAATTGTGGTGGCTTTGAAACACTCGGAGGGGATAAAACACATTGTTTTATTTCAAGAACAACAAGCTTACAACATAAACAAAAGCTTACAATGCACACCCTCTCTTTCTCTCTTTCTCTCTAGTGTTTCTCTCAAATCTCTCCACACATAATTGCATAAGTTTAACTGCCAATTTATACATGAATTCAAAACAAAAAAATTCAACCTTCAAGTGTGAAGGCGGCTGTTGCCGACTTTGTGAAAGCGGCTGGCGGCTGGATAGTTGGGCGGTGACAGCTAGTGATTGCCTTCCTTGACCTTCTAGATTAAGTTTACTTCAACAATGTACA